CCTGTTTCGACGATAGAATCGGCCGGGAGAGCGCCTTGGCCCAACCTGTTTCGCCGATTAAATCGGGACGCTGGGCCCGGGCTGCTGCGCGTTGACGGCGCCCGCGGGACAGAAACAGAACAGGAAATGGGGGAAAACTCCGCGGCACAGGGCCACAGCTGTCCATAACCTATTGCCGGCGGAACTTGACGAGAAAAGCCGCCCGGCCAGCGCGTGCTGGCAGTGGCAAGCGTCGAAGAAAGAGGCGAAACAAAGGAGCCGGGCGCCTGCCGAAAAGCAGAATCCAACAACTCCAAACCCTGCAAAACCAGATGCTGCCGCTCTACCACGGATCCAAGTACCCGTTTGACGAAGCGGAATTCAAGCAGCGACTGAACAACGCCATCAAACGCGGCGGCATCAATCTGAAGTGCCGACACCTGGAAGCGTTCCTCGATATGATCCTGATTAAAAATGTCCCCACGCCAGAGTTCTCATGCAAATCTGCATGCCAAAAAAGTTTCTCATGCGGAGCCCCAGGAGAAGCATTTTCTAGTCTCACCCTGATTATATGCTAGATCTGTATATGCTGCTCAACTACTGAAACAGGATTGCACTACAAGGACAAATTTGTCATGTGAAGCAACCACAGCTGGTTGATTTGTCTAGCAGATTTCCCATCTCGACTCTGGTATGGACACGTTTTTACACAGGATACTCGACGCGCCGGCTTCATCCGCCGCAGATAAAAACTGTAGCACGGATGTTGCAACAAGCAGTGTGAAAGTCGAGATTGCAGAAAGAACTGGTGGCAAGGAGAAACGAGCGGGATCTTTTCCGGGTCGTGTTGCCAGCACCGATAATTCGTCTGTTTTTTCACCGCGTCGATATCAAATGTAAAAATGTCTGGGTCTGGAATAGTGATGCTGTTTCTGCATGACACAGAAGGTCTGGCATGGAAGTTCTAGCATCACAGGTTTCGAGAAGCTTCCGCAATGCCGAATCCGCATGACAAGTCACCCATTTTGGTGAGAGAAAGTGAGCAGCTTTTGCTGCCTATGCATCAGAGATTTTTGTGTGTTCTGAAATGCGCATCACAAGCTACATCCTTCCAGACCCAGACATTTCTGCACTTGATAGTCGACCAAAAGTGCTGATTCTCCACGGCGACGAGGACAAAATCATCGACTGCCAGGCCGCAATATGGATTCCAAAAATGTCTGGGTGTGGAAGGTTGGAACTTGTGATGCTAACTTTGGACTCTAAAAAATTCTGTATTGCATGACCAGCAAAAGGAGTCCGGTTTGTGCTACGCGTGGAGGGCATTTGTCATGCAGCACAGGTATCAGGACCCAAGTACCCGTTTGACGAATCGGAATTCTATGCATTGCAAATACCCCCCCCTGGACTCCGACTGGAAGGATGCAGACCTGTGATGCAGATTCTGAAGCAAGTAAAAATCTGTGTTGCATAACAGCTATGGACGCACACTCATTTATTCCGGTACCATCGCGACTACGATAGCTATCGGAAAATATTCACGATAGCCAGCGGAAACGAGTGCGCTGCAGAGCCCGGCGGGGCACCTCAAACGCCGCAAAAAGGGCTCTGTGCACGTGCAGGCGCCGGCGCGATTCACGCCCGATCTCGTCGGCCTCACTACTTTCCTACCGCTCTTACCAGGTGGGATTTTCACTGTGGCGTCCCATTTGGAAATAAGGCTCTACGCCCCCGGGAAGGACGAGGGCGGAAGAGAACATATAGAGCACGGCCACCAGTGAGCAATTCACATAGCAAGACAAGCGCACGCATATCTATGTCCGCATACCAAACGCAAACAGATACAGAGCATGCAGCCGCGCTCCATAGCGCGGCCGGGCGCCTTGCCAATACCGACTCGCCGAGCGCCCGAGGTTGCTGGCCTTCCATTCACTCCTGCCTTCCAAGAAACGCGTGGTGGTCTCGGTGGCCGTGAGCCCCACGGGCTCTGCGCCAACCATGACTCAAAAATAACACGTATATGAATTGGGCAGGCACACACGTTGTCGCACAGCGGCAGTGCGTGTCCCGCTCGCAAGGCCAAGAAAGGTGCGGCCCCACCTCCAACGCAGAGGTATCGCCCGCCTGGGAAAAACCTCTGGAACGGGGGCCGGCCAAGAAAGAAAAGGCTGCGCAGACGAGAGCCAACCAGGCTGTGTTTCCCGATTCTAGCGGCGAAACAGCTCGGGCGAAGGTGTTTCGACGTCGAAACACCTCCGCGCGACCTGTTTCGACGATAGAATCGGCCGGGAGAGCGCCTTGGCCCAACCTGTTTCGCCGATTAAATCGGGACGCTGGGCCCGGGCTGCTGCGCGTTGACGGCGCCCGC